ATATCCCAATTATTTTCGGGTATTTACTTATAAATTACATGCATACACTACTCTACTAATATATTATGCATATAATAAAACACTCAAAACCTTAGATCTCAAAAGGATGAGATGCAAACAAATAACGAAAGGTCAGATATTTCTCCCACCCCTGGTGAATGCTTTTATTCATGCCCAAGATGCATGTTGTAGACACACCCCACTTCAAAGCCCCTTTCCCCAGGGCCTACGGTCCAGTTGCATCTTGCTGCTGGACTTCTCACAGCATCAAGCTTATGAAGCAAAAAGCTGAACGTACTAGAGCAGAAGGAAAATGCTAACCCCCCCGAGAAAAATAACTCCCAACATTCTGTGACTAAGTAAGAAACTGCACCTGTTCCCACCTCCTATAAAAGAAAAGTAATCCTAGTAAAGATTGCTCAGCAGAAGAGATCAATGGAAAAGCTTTGACTATTCCCACATAAAAGAAGCAGGTTTCCTATAAAAAAGCACTCTGCCCTATATAAGCTTTCAGGCCAGAGTCACACTGTACTTAATAAATCAAACTGTGTTGTTCTCTGTTACAGAAAGAAATGCAGCTTGAAACCCAAGTGAGGAAGAGCATTGGAAGGTTGCAGGGCATTCTAGAAACAGAAGACCTCTGCATACTAGTTCCCTTCTCTGCACCTTTCTGGCCTGAGTACGTCATTTAATTTGTCTGCTTCTTAGACTCCTCAACTCTTAAATGGGGATAACATGTGCATATAACATAGCTTAAATGTAAGTTAAAATTCAAACATGACATTAATGGGGGTGAAAGTGTTCTATAAATTATGAGATGCTATAGAAATGAAATAAAAACTTCTGTCTCGGGGTGCCTGGGTGGCTCAGTCATTAAGCATCTGCCTTCAGCTCAGGTCATGATCCCAGGGTCCTGGGATCGAGCCCCCCATCGGGCTCCCTGCTCTGCGGGAAGCCTGCTTCTCCCTTTCCCACTCCCCCTGCTTGTGTTCCCTCTCTTGCTGTCTCTGTCAAATAAATAAAATCTTTTAAGATTTTATTTATTTATTTGACACAGACAGAGCTAGAGAGCAAGCACAAGCAGGGGGAAATGGCAGGCAGGGCTGAACAGGGAGCCCAACGCGGGACTCGATCCCAGGGCCCCAGGATCATGACCTGAGCCGAAGGCAGACGCTTAACGACTAAGCCACCCAGGCGCCCCAAATAAATAAAATCTTAAAAACAAAACTTCTTTCTGCTATAAAAACAAAAGCTGAGTAATTGACAAAGTAACTTACATACGATGTGCCCTTCTAGAGAAATCAGTATGTAACTTAAATTTTTGCAGTCCACCCCAGACCCTTTGAGACATGCGGATGATAGCTCACTGTTCCAGTTCCCGATCCCACAGCCATTCCCAGCAAATCCTATTGGGAGTACCTGATGGAACCGCCATTGTGGACCTGCAACTTCAGTAGGGGCCCATGGGGTGTATTTTGTATGGAGGTCACATCCGTGTCCCCGAAGTGAAGGCAGGCGGGGTGGGGAAGCTGTGACAGCTCTGGCTGTCGAGGGGCATCGAGGCTACAGCCTCACAAGGTCCAGTGTGGCCTCCCTCTGCTTCTGTGGAGAAGCTTCCAGTCCTTTCTGCTCAGCAGACATACCAGCCTATGATGGAGCAACTGTCTCAGCAAATGAAAGTAAGGTCACTGAATAAGCTCCAAAGCTCTGGAGACCTAAACCCCAGTCTAAAGCCCCTTGTGTCCAGGAAGCATGGGCCAGAGAAGTCCTTCATGGATTAAGTCATTGAAGATGACTTACACAAACATTTTTAAAGCTTCAAAATTTATTGCTGTACATTTTCGCATAGCATTTACTATGGAAATACTAATAGTGCAAATATTTGTTTTGGACTTTGTAGCATTTGAGAGATCACAAAGCTTTCTGATATCGTTTGCAATCATTTACGAAGATCTATATTATTCAAGTTATCTTTAAAATTCAAACAAGTAATCTTATATTCAGAGAGATTACATAATGCTTTCTAGATCTCTTTTCTAGAACAAAGAAATACACTGGAAGCCACCAGGGGCATTCCTTTCCTTTATAACACATACGTCTCGCAACACCTGTCCAACTGCAAGACTCTTTGTTCATTGACAAATTCATTCAACAAATATTTATTGACAAAACTGTTATGTTCTGGGCACTGTGCTAGGCTCTGGGGACATTAAGATGAAAAGATGCAATCTCTGCTTTCACGGTGCTTACAGTCTAAAAGTAGAAACAGACATGCAAACAAATTTACAACACAATACAGTAAAGTGCTTCCATGGAGGTATTTACAAAGTGCAGTGGGAACTTGGAAGAGGGAAGAACATCTGCCTCGAGAAATCAGGGACAGCTTCACAGAGGAGGTAGCCACTGAGCTGAGACTTGACCAGTAACCGGGAATTTGCCATGTAGACAGGCAGGCAAAGGGAATGACAGGTGCAAAGACACAGAGGCCCAAGGAGCACTTCAATGGACCAAGTAATGCGGTTTTTCTTGAGCTGAAGCTACAATGGGGAGAGTGGCAGGATAAGCCAGACAAATAGGCGGGTATCAGATCATGAAGAGCCTTTTGATCATTCAACCATTTATTCAACGAACATTTATTAAGTGCTTACTATGTGCCAGGCACTAGGCTAAGTGCTGGAGTTGTAACAGGGAACAAGACAGACACATCCTCGCTCTCGTGGAGCTTACATTCTACTAGAGAGATAGACAAAAAGTTAACAAATAAATACAGATTTAGAAGATTTCTACAAAGGAAATAAACAGAGTGCTGAGGCAGGAAATGAGTATTATGGGGGGTGGAGAGTAGTTACAGTTATTAGAAAACGCCTCTTGGAAGTGACATAAAACAGACACCTGCAGGGGTTATAACAAGAGCAAGCCCCAACGGGAGCGCTCACTATGCACTAGGCACTGTGCTAAACACTTTATAAACAGTATCTCACTTAGTCCTCACGACGACTCTATGAGGTAGGTATTATTATTCCTATTTCACTGAGGAGGAACAGGCTCAAAGAGATTAAGTAACCTGACAAGTCACACAAATGGCAAAATCAGGGTTCAAACACAGGTTTTCTTCATTGGAAAGTGCTCACTCTTAAAATATTATTCTTAAAATAATTCTTAAAAATTACAGAGAGAAGTGAGAAATTTTGAGTATGGAAATGATACGGTCACATTTGCTTTGAGGACCATAAGGAAGGAAGGAAGGAAGGAAGGAAGGAAGGAAGGAAGGAAGGGAGGGAGGAAGTTAGCCACTGAAAGTCCAGAGGAGAGAAAGGAGGTTGTAGGAAGGCAGTGGGTTGCGGGAATGGAGAAGAAGTATGGATGTGAGAAGTGCATTTAGTAGTTCTAACAGGACTGATGGGACAGTGGAGGCAAGGGAAAGAGTGGCATCTGGGATCACTCATGGGTGTCTGCCTTGAGCAATTGGATCAGATGACTTGCTTTTACCCTAGTTAGGGAATGCAAGATGATGATAGATTTGGGGGCTAAGATAACGAATTTAATTCTGGACATGTCGTCCTGTGGGTATCTTGGGAAAACCTGGATTTATGGGATGGTCCCAGTTGGACACCATGTAATGGCTTTCATACCTTGTTCTCTACCTGAGCAAAGGATATAGGAACAAAAATCAAAGTTGTATATGTGTGTACATTGTGTTTTTGCTTTTACAAAAAAAGCATGTCTATCTTGGTTGGATAGCTTTGTAAAAAGAACATATGATCACCAAGGTGAAGTTACCCCAAGCCTGATTACAAAAGAGAACTCATGGACTTGGGGGAGCCTAAGAAAAGCCTTTGGACATCCATTCTAAGTAGTCACACCAGTTTTTAAAAAGAAATCAATACTAACTTCCCACTGCCAGCCCCGCTGGGGCAGTTTGATGGGCCCAGAGCAGGCCTCCTTGGCCAATCGTCTGCAAGCGCCCCACCTCATTTGCCAGCGAGACCACTCTGAGGATACTAGTGGCCTAATAAGGCCCAAAGATCCAAGTTGGACGTAAATCAGGAATTCCAAAAAGGTGTTATTTACGTAGTTTGGCATAAGGTCCAGAGAGACAACAGCCCCAACCTAGCCAGTTGTATTGCTTTGACTATTTTCTTTCCCTTCCTCAGGAACGGGAAGGGTGCTGGAGGTAGCCGTAATAAAATCTACAGGTGACATTTACATGGAATTGGTCACATTGGTGACCACATCATTTCTGGGTCTAATTTTAAAAGAACTCAGAGTGAAGAAGTACATAAACCGTTCCCATAGAAAGATATTATTTCTCAAAATGTGTTTAAATTTGCTTATGAACACTCCCCCTCCTTTCCTTGGCATCAGATTAACTTAAGTATGTTTTGATTTTAAAACTCATTTAATAATGTTGTGCCAGTTTTAGTCATTAGGTATCAAGGAATTTAAGTGGGAATGAAGTTACACTTAAGAGTTTCAACAACGACAACAAAACGTTAATACTGTGGGGACCGGGTACTGATTAGTAAAGTATTACAATCTGGCTCATGAAGCAACTCTGTCTAGAAAGCTGCCTCTTTCTGTGGCGAAGGGTCTAAGCTGCACCTGTTAACTCAATAGGGCCAGTGGACATTAGAAAATGCGAAGTGTCCTAGAAAAAAATGACAGACATGGACCTTCCAGTACCATCTGAAGGGTACTTATGTACCTCACTCATGCCCAAGGGAAGAAAATGCTTTACTTTTATAAAACTAACAAAAGTACTAGTCACGGGCAAGGAAAAAAAACATCACACATGCTAGATGGCACCTTAGAATTCGCTTTCCGGAGGCGAATTGCAAATGGATGAGCTATTCTCCACCACCTCCATTTGAAAACTAAGGCCCAGGGATCACAGCTGACTGTAAATCAGGAATCCTGGGGGGAGGGCGGGGGGGAGGGGCGGGGAGGGGGGGGGGGGGCTATTTATTATGTGTGCTCTTTAACAGAAAGAGTTCCAATCAGTCTGTGAATATAATCATTTATTTGTCTTTACAGTGATGATGGAAGAATGTACAGGTGTCCTCTTTCAATAAAGTATAAAAATCTGTTTATATACAGTGAAGTCACAATAATCTTTAATTGGGAGATTTATTTGGTACTCCTGATCGGTTCATATTAAAACAGGGGGGAAAACAAATATTTCACGTTAAGTGCTACATTTCCAGTAGATTGCACCTGGCATCAAAAGCTCAGCTTCATCTTAAGGGTCCTGCTTGATATTACAAAAGTCTCATTTTAAGTCCTAGGACTCAAAATAAACATCATTTTTTGAATAATAGATATATACATCAAAAATACATCTAAAAAGGCATTGGTTAGCGCTATTAAAAAGCTCTATGTGCTCGGGTACATTTTTTTCTTACAGGCAAAACCCAGTGGAAACGCTTTTGTTCAATTCTAGAAATTTGCTCTTGGGGAAAGTTGGTCGAAAGTTACCTGTAAGGAAAACAAACAAACTTAAGTAATGTGATGATTTCTCAGGTAAGGTCAGCAGAACTTTAAAAAGTAGTTAGAAGCTTAATTTTACTTAGAACCACATTTTTAAAGCCTTAACATTTAGTTACAGCACTTTGTACATAAAAAAAAAGTTCAACATATCCCCTTATTATTTCAAGTGCTTTAATAATAAATTTATACTCATTTCATTTTCAGAGAAATCGTATGTACAGCTTTGTATGCTAACACAAATATCTTCTATCTATAATTAAACCTGTACAAAGAGGGAAATCATAGGGCATACAAATAAAAAAAAGAAAACGATAATAGACACAGACAAATCCAAGCATTTTTGAGAAAATTTAGAAAAACATCTACTAACCACGATTTATTTTACTTTGGAGCATTTATGAGTGACAGGCACTGAAGCTTTCTCATTATTGAACCTGGCTGAAGCGATACGGTGCAACTGCAGACAGAACTATTTATATCTCTGATCCTGTATCTCATTTGCAGCTAAATATTTTGACACCTTTGTTTTTACAGTTTTCTTCTTGCAAGCACTCTTAAAATTTTGATAACCTGGGTACCCCTCTATGATTGTAAAATTTTAACTAACACAGTAAATCTCAACCTGTTATTGAGGACATACATAAATAAATCAAGGCCCACGCTGCTAATAAGGAACATGTGAGAGAGCCGTGGCATGATGAGGCTGACAGACCCAAACGGAACTACGTGGTTTCAGTTCCATCTCTCACTAGCCATGTGAAGTCAGCCATGGCCTACCCTTCGGTCAAGCCAAGTCCTGTCTATTCTACAGGTTATTATGAACACTTAAGTCAAACGGCAGTGCTCTGGTTTAGACTTTAGGTGTAAAGGGGGCTAAATGAGTCAATTAGGCAAATTTAATTTTGATAACTAAGAAGTGCTTCTAATTCTTCCACAACCTTCAAGTCTACTAGCCTGGTCTAACAATACCATTCTCAAGTTTAGAATGTGATACACATACTATGAATCTCTCTCTACCCAACATGCCAAAATAATGGCTATTTTAAGTATATATTAAAACTCTAATTGCTCCATGTTAGTTAGTTTGTTCCCACCAGTAACCACATTTGTGCCAGGCAGTGAGCAATGCCAGCTTTTATATGACCAAAGTGTCTAGTCCCTGAAACCCAGGCTTGCTCACATAAATTAGGGCGCTGCCTTGATATCCATCTGCAAAGCAATCTGTGAAGTAAGCAAGGGTCTAGTGAAACCTCAGTTAGATGATCCTTGATTATCTTAAACTGTTTTCAGGAGAAAAGTCTGAGAAACAACAAAAAGCTAAAAAGCTCTGAAAAGAGGAGAGCCTTCCTAGAGTCACTTCCGCGGCAGCAGACACAGCCACCCCGATGGCCACCCCGCGCCCCAGGGACAGCGTGGCTGAAGCCCTCAGACTGAAGAAACATGTTTCAGGCTTCCCCCTGAAGGACTGGGCACATAGCAAGCACACTCGTCAGAGCCCATAAAACACACCCTTGCCAGAGTAGAAACCAAGATTCGAGATCAACATGGCGCCTTCCTGTGCTCAATAAGGGGGGGGAAAAAACCTTAAAATAGCACTGAACTGGATTCCAACAGTTCTGTGTGTTCAGGAAATGGTCACCAAATGGTGATGCTGTCACTGAATATATAATGTGAGGCATTCAAATTATTACCTGGTTTCTTATCCCTGCGGCATGAGTCGCTCCCTGAACCCCACAAAGGCACTGATGGGAAGGGATGGTTGTGTGAACCATGAACTCAGCCTCCCCACACACAGTACCCTGTCCGTGCCTGTACCAAAGAGGCCCCTGGCCGTCCCCTCCGTGGCTCCAGTGAAAAACTGGAGTCATCCCGGCCACTCTCTCCGTCACTTCTAATCAGTCACCTGATCAACTTGATTCTATCTCCAAATACATCTCCAATGGACCTTTGCTTTACCTCCTTTTCTCTGCACTCACTGCCAACACCCCCGTGAAGCCACTGTCCCTCTCACTGCCAAACTACAACCACCTCCTCACTGGTCACCCCGCTTCCAGGCTCTCCCTGCCCCCATCCTCTGTCTCAGGGGGCAGCCGCCAGATCTTATAAATAAGCACATCTGATCACCTTCCTCAGCCTTCAGTGGATTCCCTCTGGCTTTGAAGTTAACCAGTAACCCACAAGGCTCAGCATGATTAGATTTACCTCTCCACATTTTCTCCCAACCCTCCCCAGATTACATTCCAACTGTGAAGATCTCTTCTTTGTTCCCTAAAGGCAGCAACTTCTCCTTGTTGTTTCTTTTGATGGGAACATTTTTTACCCAAACTTTGGCCTACTGCTGCTTGCCCCCGAGGCTCAACCTAAATGTCACCTCCTCAGAGAGGCTCTGGTCACCCTTCACATCATATCAGCTCCCCTCTCCGGGCACTTCTGCTTTTCCTTTGTAGCACTTATCACAGTTGGCAATTATGGAGCTATTTGAGCATCTGGTCAATACAACTATACGGTAAGTTCTGTGAGCACAGGGGCTGTGTGACCGTGGCCACCACTGTGTCCCCAGGACGAGCACTGAATGCAAGAATGACTAGTGGGATGAGGGGCAGGTCCCCAGACTGAAAGGGACAGGGAGGACAGGTTCCAAAACAACTAGGAGTTAGGACTCTAACTCACTCTGTTCGTTCTCTATTTCTCTTTCTCTCCCTGACGCCCCTCAGTTTTGGCTTCAAAGGACGCAAATAAATAATCGGCTTATGGGGGGCACCCAGTAAGACAAGACCTGCCAAAACAAAGCAGGATGGCAGTTGGAAAGCAAGGTGCTGCACGAGCCCTTGGGGACTTGACCACAACCACCTAAAGAGAAAATATAGCCATCAGGACAGAGCCTATGACACTCATGTGAGTTCACAATAGGGTCCAAGTTTGTATGTGGTAAGGTAAAGTATTTATTGTCTTATAAAATGCCCTTCCCATTCTTTCTGCATCAAGCTTGTGCTAGAGAGAACCTAAAAAAAGAAAGGGACTTTGCCTACTTTACAGTCGTAACTTTAAAGAGGGGACAACAGACGCCAGAAAGACAGCGTGGTGGGGATGACAGGCACCTTCATCTCCTGCAGCCACTGCCTCCTACCTGGCAGAGTCCTTTTTCTCTTCCCCTGATTGCTTCTAAGGACACCTTGCAGGTTTTCCACCTGGCCACTGAAGAAGGAGGTTAGATCTCTTGCAAGTGGCTGCAGGGCTGTGAATGTCTTCACATCAGGAGGACAAAAGGACAGGATTCTCAAATAGAGAGGAAACCAAACAACAGTACCCACCCAGCTCTTCAGCGGAGAAGCTATTTTATATTCTGCTGAGGCAGGCTACCAAGGGCAAAAGCAAGAAAATAAAGCACCTTCAGTTGCAAGTCTCTCTCTCTCTGCTCTCAGTTTACCTGATCATATTCTTAGGCTTCATCTCCACTGTCCATTTCCAGATCCATCTCCTCCGTATCAGCAGCTCGCGACAAGATGTCTGCCATCAGTGCTTCTTCCAATTTTTTGCGTACTTGCTGTACTCGCTCCTCCTGTTTCCTTTTACAAAAGAGTAAACACACACTGATAATCTGGCAAGTAACGGAAGCATGCAGCTGGTACTACAGTCTATCTTTAGTTCAAAATCATGAAAATTCCTGAGAAGAATACATTTCCTTCTCCTTAGACTTTGCAAGACTTTCTCCTTTGCCCACAAAACCAAACTGCACCAGAGGTGAGCCTTGCCACAAACAGGAATGTTCAGACAGGCAGGTATCCCACACCTCTCAGAGAATTCTGGTAGGAGTAGATTTATTTCAGTGACTTTTTCTTCAACTTCAAAAATTTCAAGTACGTGAAGATTTGGGGTTATTGCTATAAAGGATATTAGAAATAACTTGAAAGCAGGGATAAAAAAAAGAAGTTATATGGAAAATAAAGAAGAGATCTTTTTCAACGAAGCAGAGAGATGGAGGAAGTGGGGGCATGATTGAGTTTGGCATTCTATGGCTATGTTGGGGAAAGACAGACGGAGCTCTCTCCCAGGTTCCCAGTCGTGCTGGCAGCCAGCCATCCTGAAGAAGACCACATGATCCTATGTACCGAGGAGAGAAACTGAACAGCATCTCTTTGAGATGAGCGGAGTAGTTAAGAACATGCCACAAGTTTCTCTCTGTCTTGGGGACTGCAGTGGAACCTCAAAAGTGAAAGTTAATACTGCCAAGTCATTAAAAAAAAAAAAAAAGGGGTTCTGAACCATTTGATGGGAGACAAAGCACAGGAAAAAAAGTCTACTGGTATGTACTTTAAGTTTAAAATCAGAAAAAAATTCAGAGTCGCTCCCGGACAGTACAAGAGAGGGATTTCTAAAATAGTTCTAATGAGCCAAGACGGTAAATAGCAATTCATATCCAGAGCCAAGGGGGGAGGCCAAGAAGAAACACAAGAGAAGGGAGAACACTGGAAAGTAAGAGTCTTAGATAAAAACAAGAAAGGGAAAGAAGCAAAGGTACAAGTGGAAGGGTTAGCCCTGACTAGAAAGTGGGACAAATCACCTCTTGAGACCAGAGGAAAGGCGGGTAGGATGGATGTAGAGTGGGAAATGGAACAGCCCAGTGACAAATAAGAGACACAAGAGGGAATACTGAGGGCTCCACAGTGGGAAAAAAAGTCATTTTCTCTATCGATATTGAGGAAAACAGCGCAGCACTGTCTCGAACCTGGGAACGCGGAACGGCAGGAGGGCAACATTCTGGAAGTCGATGCTGATTCACTGAGTATGTACTTCTTGTGTCCTCAACCACTTGTAAAGTTACATTTCCTAGATTCCAGCTGATCTATCTCATGAGACTATATCCAAGGTGAGAAGCTAACATAAGTTGTATAGCCACAAAAACTTTCCATGTCTTTACCAAAGTCCAAAAACAGCACAAGGAGTTAAAAGGTATAGGGCTTCCACTCTTTAACTGAATTTTCACAAAGAGGGGGGCTGTCACGGAGTAGTCTGGCCTCTGTCATATTAAAAGAACCTAGAGATGAACATATTTTCATGTAGCTGGACCAGGGTCAAGCACACATTGTTTATTTCTTACATAGCTAGTCTTGCCTCTGGCCTCATGACTCAAGGTTTATGACAAATGGCATATCAGTCTCATGAGCAATCTCACTCCTGATAAGAGAGTATGAGAATCTGCACAAGTGCCCTAGAGTAATCCCGTTAGGAAAAAAGTAGAGCAAATGGTGCTTTTGGCTGGAGAGGCATGTCCTAAAACTCTAAAGTTTGCCTTGATTCTCTTTTGTCTTGAGTATTACTTCCCATACTTATGGAACCTGAAATTAAAGCATTTGCCCATCGGGGCAGGCAGAATTCTAACATAGTCCCTGGCCCTGGATAGACTCCTGTATAATTCCCTCCCCTCAAGAGCAGGCAGAACTTGTGAATGGGCTGGGAGGTCCCTCCATGACAAGGTTACTGATCAATGGACCTTGAGTTAATCAAAAGAGATTACCCCAGAGACCCTGACCTAATAAGAAAAACTCTTAAAAGGGGCTATGTCCTTCCTGAAAGATGTTGGAGAGGGAATGTAGAGGGGACTTCAGGGCAAAGAACTGCTATCCGCCTCTAAAGGCCGGGAACCGCCCTATCCCACATCCAGCAAGATACCCAGAGGCCCCAGTCCTACAACTAAAAGGAAACGAATTCTGCAACAATCAAAAGAGCTTTAAAGAGGACCCTATGCTCCAGAAGGGAATGCAGTCCAACCGACACTTTGGTTTCAGCCTTGTAAGACCCTGGGAAAAGAATCCGGTGGTGTCTGGCCCAGGCTTCTGGCCTATGGAACTGTGAGTGGTTGGGTGTTGCTTTAGGCTGTTAAGTTTGTGAGAACTTGTTACCTGTATTAAAAAACGAATATAGGGGCACCTGGGTGGCTCAGATGGACTCTTAATTTCAGCTCAGGTCTTGATCTTGGGTTGTGAGATTGAGCCCCACCTCTGGCTCCCAGCTCAGCAGGGAGTCTGCTCGGGATTCTCTCCCTCACCCTCTACCCCTCCCATTTGCTTGTGCATGCACAAGTGTGTGTGCACGCTTTCTCTCTCTCTCCAAAATAAATAAATCTAAAAAACAAAAACAAATACAGGGGATGCCTATGTGGCTCAGTCTGTTAAGAGCCTGACTCCCATCTCAGCTCAGATCTTGATCTCAGGGTCATGAGTCCAAGCCCTGCCTTGGGCTCCATGCTGGGCATGGAGACTACTTTAAAATACCCCAAATACATCCATGGATGAAAATATTATCAAATATGCTGAAAAATATATATACTTAATATTGAGATCTTTAGTTAAAGGTTTAATATAAACAGAATATTGGCTGCACAATTACAGAAAGAGTAACAATTCCATTTGCAGTGATTTTTATTTTGAACCTGCACTAATTCAACAAGAAATGTTGGCTTAATAATTTCTGTTATGACAATTAAATCAAACGGACAATTTGTTAAACAAGTTTACCCTAAAAGGAAATCATGCAGATCTGGCTTTGAGATATTTTCCCCTACTATCAAAAGATCTGCTGTTGAAGCCATCAGCATTCCCATGACATCACTCAGAGGCCCTCAGTCAACACCCACGATGACCTGGCAGACCCCCTGCTGATTAACTGGGTATCCATTCCAAGACAGGTAAGAACTTGTCTCCGGAGGAATATCCTTCCTCAAGGGTAAGAATAAGCCAAAGAGCAAGCTGATTCCTCCCCTTGATTTTACATTTTTTCCTTAAAAATAAAGCTGATCATAAATTCCATATAATCAATACACATGAATACAACTTTGAGCCATGTTACATCTTTGCGAAAGGAACTACTTTAAAACCCAGGAAGGGCTTTCCAATTACAAACCTAGCTAGACTCATTCATTTAAAAACATTTTCATGCCAACTTTTTATGGATTTAGAAAAAAAATACAAATATAAAACATATTTTAAAATTATATGATTCAAAAGTGCCACCTGCTGGTTTTGTCTAGGAATAATACTCCACTAAAACCTGATTTAACATTCAAGGGTAGAAATAGTGAAGTATACACCCTGTCCTATTTTTAAAGAAAATACAATACACTACAGTCTCATTATAAGGTAATGATACTCAAGTTCATTAATCCCATATAAGAATTTCTTTCTGGTCTTAATATCTGAAATAGTTTGCTTCTTTCGAGCAATGGTTTGCTTATATTTTTCTAGGCATTATCAATCTGAGTTGTATGTTGTCTTTTCACTATTTGCTGCTAAAAACCAAATTTGTGGCCCAGTCTTAGAAAGCAAAAGATGTTAAGAGATGTAGCTTGTGTCCTCTCCTTACTCCTGACTCTGCTTTCTTGCTTTATGCTTTACCCTTTGCTTGATCTTTGCTATTTGCTTCTCATCTGGCTCGTGTGTGTGTATGTGTGTGTGTGTGTGTGTCTTTGAAGCCACCTTAAATCTTTACTTAAAACAAGATGAAGCAGAGATAAATAAATCTCTAAACTGAGCTTAAGAGAGTAAACATAATCGAGATAAGCAAACTGAACTCTAAAAACACCACCCAGCTTAAAACAGCATGGTTGTGATCTGCTTTAAAGAGAGACTGGTTTGCAGACAAACCAATGCAGGAAGAAGTCACAAAAGGCATCACTGAATGAAAGGGATTCTTTAGAGCAGAAAGGCATAACTCCAAAGCCTAAAGACACTCAGTAACAATGTGGACAGAGTACAACTGATGGGTCCCTCGGATACGACCGTGATACCTCCACCTTTTTCCAAGCATGTATCTGTTTTATTTTTTTTTTTAAGATTTTATTTATGTATTTGACAGAGAGAGACACAGCGAGAGAGGGAACACAAGCAGGGGAGTGGGAGAGGGAGAAGCAGGCTTCCTGACCAAGCAGGGATCCCGATGTGGGGCTTGATCCCAGCACCCTGGGATCATGACCTGAGCCGAAGGCAGACGCTCAACGACTGAGCCACCCAGGCGCCCCGCATGTATCTGTTTTAAATGTTCTATATCACCTTCCGTTAATTTCACAAAAGATCTGTAAAAAAAAAAAAAAGTGTAACTTACTGACTGATGCGTCACTTACTAGATGTGGCACAGAAAGGAAGAGGCATTATACAACGTATCCGATGGAATGAACAGGTTTTTGAAGTTCTGTTTAACCGCCTTACCTAATGTCTTCGTCTGTGACAATGAAAGCCTTGCAGAGGGGTTGAGAGGTGTTCAGCCAAACAGCTGGGTTCTTTTCCACAGCGGCCGAGGAAACCTGTCCTGTGATTGGTGCAGAGCTTGTGTGCAGAGCGCTGGCAACAGCAGATAAGAGGGTCTCGTCATTACTACCTGGACCAACTCCTGCAAGTAGAAATACACACCAGCTAAATTTTAGGAAATTTCAGGATGGGCTGAGCAAATCTTATGTAACCTAAAACAACTGATATTTTTATGTTTGTTTGGGATCATATATTTAAAACTGACACAAGCCAAAGAAGTAAAGGATAATATCGGATCTACTTCATAGTTATTCTATACATAGTTACTCTATATAAAGAATTAACATTAAAAGAAATAGTTACAAGGGGCGCCTGGCTGGCGCAGTCATTTAAGCATCTGGCTCTTAGTTTCGGCTCAGGTGACGATCTCAGGGTCGTGGGATGGTGCCCCATATGGGCTCGGAGAGCCCGGCACAGAGACCGCTTCACTCTCTCTCCCTCTGCCCCTCCCCCCGCCAAAGAAAAAAATAGTAACAAAATGGCTGAGCATTTTAATAAAACTTTAACACAACTTCAAAATACATTTTCCAAGGTACGAAACTTTTTTAAAGTTGGCTACATCTCCTCAAGCAAGGTCAATTACTTTAATGATCTAAATGCGTTCTAAAGTCACATTATACCCAAGTTTCCCTATTAATGGATCCCCGGAGTCCCAGCATAGTTTCTCTTGTAGGTTTTAACATTAATTTCTAGCAATATCTCAACACTTTTCTTTGTTTTGGGACTTCAAAGGAAAAGCCGATGCAGGCATGCTCTACCTGCAGCTTTCACATCTTTTTCAAATACAAAACAAAAATCCAAGTTAATAGAATTAATAATGGCACACCTTGACTACTTGTAGGAGACTGGCAACATGACCACATTTAAATGCATTGCTTAAAGTCCTAAAGTTACTAAACCAGTTAAAGCAATACTTCTCAAGAACGCAGAGGGATGACACAATGTTCTAACCATGAAGGAGAATTTTTGAGCAATCCACACTATCAACATTTAGAAGCTGAAGTTCTAATGCTTGAGAAACAATGCTGCTCTGGAATTGGAATTAACATGTGACATGACAGGCACCCTAGGTAACTGAGTTCTACACCCCAGACCCCACTTGCTACTGTTACTGGACCAAGGTGCACCTGTTCCCACAGCTACAGGCCACAGCAGTTTGTGCAGGGAGAGGCAAAAGAGTTGCTGGCTGTCCTTTCGCTAAGACGAACAGTGAAAGAGCATGTGCTCAAGCCAGACGCTGCTCTGAGCGGGGAGCTTGAGAAACTCTGCCACTCAGCTGCACCACTCAGCTGCATGTGGTTCTAAAAGCAGCACACGGGTTAATTTATATGATGAACCCAACCTAAAGCCAAAATTTTTAAACAGAAAAAAACCTGAAACATCCCTACAACACACAAGCTTTTCAGATACGTTTTCCCTGGGTTTATTAAAACACAAAAGGG